GATTATTTACTTTTTGTCTTATTTAATGATAATATACGATAAGATATGTAAATGAACTGTGTTTTCAGGCAGTATTTTAATAAATATAATTGTAAATGTAAATATTCTACACGCACCTATAGACCAGACTGATAATTCTTTTTTGTAAGATCTTTCATCGATATAAATCTTTAATACACCTGTACAAGAAAATTCAGTAAAAAAATTAACGAGGAAACCACAATACTGAATTCGTTATCGAAGTAATTTTTCCTCATAGTGAAAACACAATATTCGTAAATTCTTGCTTTGACGCTACTATAAAAATCTACACAACATTATGATAAGGAAATATTTGAATGTTTGTTTGTATTGAATAGGTTTCGAAACTACTAAACCGATTTGAAAAATTTTTGATAAATAGAATTGGATTATGACTACAAAACAAACTTACGCCCGTATTCACAAACGATGCTTGCTTATGTGAAGCAGCAAATGGAACGCACAGCGTTGAATCTCTGCTCTGTGGTTTGTGAATATGGGGCTATAGACAGAAGTCGATACGACAATTACCTTTCGTGTTCACCCCTTAACCAATTACCGCCGTGCAATCACTCATCATTACAGAGCTACGGCCCATATCATTGTGTGCATTATTAAAATTAACGATCAGAGAGAATCGATTTAAAAGGAAAACAAAATTAATTATCGCGTACGCCTCTCGGCCAATACGTCAGCTCGACGGAGTTAATTTAATATCAATTAATTTGATTTCCGCAGACAAAATGATGGTATAGATGGAACCCATTATGGTGTCTATGATCAAGGTAACAGAGACAAAGGTCTCTCTCTTTAACTCAAAAAATAATGAGCCATGTAAAGTCTCCTTAAGAGTATTTGACGATTTGTAACTTTAGATTTGATGTACAACTATCATTCTTGCTACCAATTTTGATTCTTAATAGGCGCTATAGGTCATGTAAGTACTGTTATGGTCAACAACTTAGGTCCATGCATTATAGATGAAACATAGTAAAAAAGCTGTTTAACATTACATTATGAATATTGTATAGTCTGATGTGCTGTCGCCTTTACATAGCGCAGCTATCGCAAACTAATAATCTGTCGTAAAATTACATTGGGTTGAGCCCCTAATGATCATGGGTAACTTATAAATAGCTCAAATCATGTTAAAAATTCTATGGAAAATTGTTGCTGGAATATGTTATTATACACACATATGCTAAAAGCTGTCAATGGAATGGAAAATTCAATCCATGACATTGAATGACTCCGCCTATGTTACGTCGTGCCGCTACAAAAAATCCATGAAATGCTATCCTAAATTAATTTAATTTTGTGCGTCTAAAATGTTTACTTACAAATATTTTTTGCAAAGAAAGTGACTACTAGAGAAAGGAACTTAACACGTTCGCATCCACGTTAAAATAATTACTGAAACAGTCTACTTAAATGCTGCTCGCATGCAAATTTCCAACGCTTGACTTAACTCGGCTCAACGTTCTACGTAAATGGCGGAAGTCGAAAGTCTTGTTCATGATTTTAGTGAGGATGGTATAATAACTTAAACGTTGCAACATTTACGTGCACTTCCCTAAAGCTTCTATCCGATCGAGTTAAGTTCCCGGATTTCTGAGCTTTTTCCTCCTCGCTGCGCTTTAAAATAACATCAGTTACAATTATTTGTAGAACTTTCGTGAACGTTATGTATTTTACCTTTTATAAGAGGGCATGACATTAATTGATGAGTATGTGGAAAATGTTGCCATATTATTTGTATAAATATGTTTTCATAGCTCAAGCCTTGAACGAGTAAATGAAAAGATATTTACTTCGCAAGCTTTCAAGCGAACTTTAAGTAGGTACTGTTTTAGCTTAATTTAATTAATTTACTTGAGTCGACTACGTTGACTGAGACGACGATGGAGTCTTTTTTAAAGAGGTGGATAAAAGCGGTAAAGTAACGTCTTGAGGTTTCTTCAGGGGTCTTTGGATTCTTCAGGGATTGAACGATAAGAATAGGTGAATATTTTGAAATATGGTTCAAAACAAATGTCTCTAAAAAGCAAGTGTCTTTAAAAAGGGTTAAGAGATAACGACCTTTTATCACTGAGTCTGTCGCGTCGAGTTGTCTACATCGAGTGCGTTGTCCGATTTTAAATTATCGATGAAACTGAAATGCATTGAACAGGCAGGTGATAGCAGATGTAGATTAGGGCCAGGGGCGTAGCTACTAAGGGACAAGGCGGGGCAGTGCCCCGGGGCCCCCAAGCTTCGGGGGCCCCCGAATCCTTACCAGAAAATATCAGTTAAACTGAACTTTTAAAAATTTCTCCCATTTTCAAAATAAATAGAGAGAAATTTGAAAGTTATACCTAGGGAATTCCCTAAATTCTTTCTGTTGTTGGCAGTATTTTAAATTTGACGGATAGCGATAATGTGAGTTTTATTATTCATCGATGTGAGTTTTATTGTGAAGACAAGAGAACGGTTTAAAAAATTAATGCTGTATCAGGAGTAAGTAAGCTTAATGTAAATAAATTTGATAAAACCTAACCAGTTTAGATTGCAGTGGGGCCCCATTTTTTTATTTTCCCCAGGGCCCTTGGTTACCTAGCTACGCCACTGATTAGGGCTGAATTATGTATTGTCGGTGATTCGCTTCAGTATTCACAAACGACACTAAATACGATTGTCCAATCAATCGGACAGCGAAAATAGGAATTAGTAATGCAGCATTGAGCTGCAAATTGTTTGCGGTGAATCAAGAGTTCTAAGTTGGTTCACCGCAAACAATCTGCAGCTCAATGCTAAAAAAACAAAATGTATTAAATTCACTCTGCCCAACGTAAAATCTGTTGATACCCAAATAATACTGAATAATGATACAATTGAGCTTGTGGATACGACGATATTTTTGGGACTTACACTGGACTCTAAACTTCAGTGGGGACCCCATATAACAGCTATAGCAAGTAGGCTTAGCTCAGCTGCTTTTGCAATTAAGAAAATAAGATCTCTAACCGATATTCCAACAGCTCGCTTAACTTACTTTANGGTAGATTACCTATAATGCAAATATAGGAAAAATAAATAAATAAAAAATAATCATACCGCATATTTTTTTTTTATAAAACTCCGGACTTTGACGTAATTTTGGTTTAAGTGAAATGAATGGTGTCCACTGGCATAGCTACAGGTTTTACCTTAGAATACTTGTTTTATATTTGTAGATAGTTACCCTGCCTAAAAAAAAACCCTAGCTACGCCAAAGCTAGCGTTATTTGATAAGGATCAGATATAAATGTTACTGGAAATGTATGAAATCCGTCATTGTATAGGTACAATTCCTAGGATTTGTGTATAAGTCCTAAAATCACCCGGAAATGTGTGATGTAAATTATATTAGGCACATTTCCTAGGAAATTTACACATTTCATAAACAGCAATCGGAAATGTAATTAAAATTTCTTTTTTTTCTCCGAAACTTAAATGGCGCTACCGCGCCGCGGCCGCTGTGTATGTGTAAGGTCGCAAGTCTAACCTAACCTAACCGAGACTTTGTTATCCAGCTACAGGAGTACTAAAACCTTCATGCCAATAATCCCAACTAATATTATAAATGCGAAAGTAACTCTGTCTGTCTGTCTGTCTGTTACGCTTTCCCGCTTAAACCTCGCAACCGATTTTGATGAAATTTGGCATAGAGATAGTTTGAGTCCCGGGAAAGAACATAGGATAGTTTTTATCCCGGTTTTTGAAACAGGGACGCGCGCGATAAAGTTTTTCTGTGACAGACAAAATTCCACGCGGGCGAAGCCGCGGGCGGAAAGCTAGTAGTTTAATAAAAGAGATGTTAAAATTAGGGTTTTCCAATACTTCAGCGTAATATGCGTGATGCCGAAAGAAAGGTATGCCAATAAGAAAAATATTTTTTTCAGCCAAAGTATAATAGTGCGAAAACAACTTTCAGGCTAAACAATATTATTATAGTTGTGAGTTAAAAGTACCTATCGGCCAATGTGGTTTGGCTAATGGAAATTTTAGGCATACTTACTGAGGGGCACCCGATCACAAGACCGCGCTTCACAGTCTTTTATTTTGCCTTAGANCATTTATTGCACTAAAATCGGCTGAAAAGAAGATCCTTGACTTTGCATCATCAATTTAGTAATAGTTCCAAAATACTGAACTGTCCTATCTATAACATTGACAGTGGGGCGCCACCGTCAATACCGGATCGCTGGTTCCGATTTTTGCCATGTTGGAAACCATATAGTTGAACGATGGTAGCGCCCCCCTGTCATTGAGTTTGGTGGGACAGTTCAGGGTGGGTCATCTATACAGGGTGGAAACGATAAGTGATCTCACTCGATTATTTCTAAACTATACAAGATATCGAAAAACTGGTTATTGATAATAAAAGTGCTTTACGAGCTCTTTCAAACGGTATCAGTAATATGTTACAGAATTAACTAGATCTATCCGAAAATTCAATGTTTTCAGGCTCCATACTAAATGTATGCCAGTCACACAATGTTAGAAGTGTTAATTTTTTTTATTCAATAATAAACACTTACATTAAACTCCAAATTGCATTCTTATTTAAAATTATTCATGAAAAACATTGGTTTTAGGCTTTACTTGCTATAATATTATCAAGACATGAGTGCCATGACTGTGGCAGTACTAAATGTATGGAAGCTGGAAACATTGCATTTTCGGATAGATCCAGTTTATTTTGTAACCTATTATTGGTACCGTTGGATAGAGCTCGTGAAGCACTTTCAGGATCAGTAACCAGTTTTTGGATATCTTGTATAGTTTTTAATATTGTGGTTTTACTAAATGTATGGAAGCCGGAAACATTGAATTTTCGGATAGATCCAGTTTATTTTGTAACCTATTATTGGTTCCGTTGGATAGAGCTCGTGAAGCACTTTCAGGATCAGTAACCAGTTTTTGGATATCTTGTATAGTTTAGAAATAATCGAGTGAGATCACTTATCGTTTCCACCCTGTAGTTGTGGCATACAGTTCTCTGACATTCTGGCATATAAGATGTATGTACGTACCTGCACGAGTTGAGCACACGGCTGGACCACAATCTGCTGCTGGCCGCTGTGTACTGTACTGATGTGCTGCTGCGTAAGCTGCGGGAAAACACACGCTTGTTTCAAATAAAGAAATAATGTACATTCAAAACTAAAGCCCGGTTTGTGAGCACGTAGAATTTTGTCCAATGACCCCAAGCTACCCATCCTTATCGCTCGCGCGTAATTATATTGCTGTCGCGACTGTGCGACGGGTGCCCGCAGTGAGTGTGCGAGCGCGACAGCAACATAATTACGCGCGAGCGACAAGGATGGGTGCTTGGGGTCATTGGACAAAATTCAAACCAGACTATACCAGAAGAAGGTTGGGGTCAGGGTTCGAAAATATCCGATATTTATGATAAATATCAAAATATTGGATATTTATGATATATATCCGATATATATCAACTTTGATATATATCAATTTTGTATGAAAGCCATAGTATTATTTTATTGTATTATTCATGAATACTATTGCATATGTGTTACATAAACATGTTTTTAATGTTTTTAAAACTTAAAATCAGACAAATAAAGCAAAAACATAAAATATCTTTGAAATATGGCAAAATCACCTAAAAAAATAAAAATCTTATGTCAAAAAGTACAAATACAGTAAGAAATTTTAAAAGTTGATATATATCATCAAAACCGGCTTGATATATATCGGATATATATCCGATATATATCTTGATATATATCGTTTGATATATATCCTCGAACCCTGGTTGGGGTCAGAAAATAAGTTCCCTACACGTCTTTGTTACAGTTGGAATAAGGTTGTGTTGTCAACTTCTTGGCCACTTTGGGTGTCACAAACTATTTGGCGCTGATTGTACATAGGTACCAGTCCGGTTTCCCGTACACAGAACATTAGCATCTATTACAAAGACATTAGAGTTGTTACTGCCTGCATACCTGCTCGGTGACGGTGGTGGCCCGCGGCGGGTCGTCGCGCGGCTTGGGCTTGACCTCGTGTCGCGGCACGATGTCGATCAGGAAGTCGAACTGGTCCGACTTCGATATCGCCATCGCTATGTCGTTGCGCTGTGAACAGTAAATAAGTATTGAATTGAACAAAATCTATAAGTAATAAAGTCTGGTCTGTGACCACGTAGAATTTTGTCCAATGACCCCAAGCTACCCATCCTTATCGCTCGCGCGTAATTATATTGCTGTCGCGACTGTGCCACTGGCACCCGCAGTGAGTGTGCGAGCCCTATAGCAACATAATTACGCGCGAGCGATAAGGATGGGTAGCTTGGGGTCATTGGACAAAATTCTACGTGCTCACAGACCGGGCTTTAGAAATAAACATAACCATAAGTGTCACTATCATACACCACTCTTGTAGCAGAGTTTTGGGCAGACACTGTAGGTTTGTTGTCGACACGTCAAGGAGAAGAAGCGTCACTATTCTTCTAGTGCCTATTTTATTTTTTAATGGGCACTAATACCAGTACCTATATTACGAGTTCGTCAGGTGGCGCCACAAGCACGTAAGGTCGTGACACTGACTAAGTATAGTGGCTAAGACATGGACGCCACTGGAGAGTAATAGGACTTTTATACGCCAACTTTTATATCCTAGGACTACTCAACTTTCACTGGTTGAGTTTCATTGGAGGCCTAAATGTAGATCCTGGCTATAGAGTTGCAGTCCCCCGTCTCTTAGTTTTAGAGGCTACGCAAACAGACACTTTTTATTACCCATATGGCATTTCACCAGAAACAGTGGATGCCAAAATAATTTAATCGAATGGGCTGTAATATTATCTCAGACCTGATCATCATAGGTAAACATTTTTTTAAAGATTATTAGCAATTTGTGTTGCGCAAATTACTAATAGTCCCGTTATCCGCTCGTGTTAAGCTAAATAAGCTTGTGTTACGAGTGGCTCACCTCAATAGTGGAGCGGCGGTTGCAATCGAACCCGTGTTCCTCGGATCTCGAGTCGGCCACTCCGACCCCTTCACCGTTCGGCTATCGTGGCTTTGTCATATATTAATAATAGTAATAATGTGTCAAATAATACAAGGGTTTGTTAACACACCTGCAGAGTCCTCCGCTTGTTGTCCTCTGTGTGCGACCAGGCACGTAACGTCAACTCGTGGATAAATATCTCAGCTGCTTTAGCGAACAGCATGGGAGCCTCCCCCGATATCATCTTCACCTCCTCATCTAGCTTCATGATCTTCTTGATGCGGGCCAGCGGTAGGGCTTGGGTCTTGAAATCCTCCTGGAGAAGAAAGGTTTTATTTTACAAGGTGGAAATGGATGGTAGTCTACATGTGCTCGCAATGTTTAGAAGAGACTTTATCTTTTGTATCTTAATTAATATCCAATATTTAAAATCTAATTTGTATTTATTTATTTACTACATAGATTCATTGAAGTCCTACTACAAGGCATTTTATACCTAAAAGGAAGGTTAAGAACATGTATTGTAAATGAAGTTTATTTGTGTAATATAGCCTGACCAGGAACATAAAAACCCTGGCATAGAGGCGCGTCAATTGCATTTGATAGTGCAACACTGAGTACAGTCGTACCTGTGTTAAATTAATAGGCTAACTTTATGTATCAGGATTCAGGATTACGGGCTAATTTGATATTTTCATAAATTAACGAAAAAATATTATTTATAGGTAACCTGATTTAAATATTTTTTAAATCAGGTTTTATGTTCCTGGTCAGGCTATAAAACATTTTCATTTTCAAGTAGATATTAAAAAAATAACAATTTTTTTTCTTATGAAGACAAAACTATACAGGCTGTTTTTTAAGTTTGATTAAAAAGGAGTGGTTTTTTTAAATATTTATTTTAACTTCAGTACCATGGAAAAAGTTCTTGCATTCAAATGCTATTCTTTTTTTATTTCTATTTTATTATCCCTTTGTTAAAAATAACACATTGGCTATAATGTTATACTCACAGCAGTGATCTTCCTGATGTCCTCCATGACCTTCGACCAGAACTGCTGCAGTGTCTGCTGGCTGCTCTCCAGGGGTGCATCCTCTACGGTCTCCGTCTCTATCTCCTCGGCCACTCCGCTGCCCTGTTCGCTGTAGGCAGGTGACAACAACATTAATGACTAGTGTAAAGTACACATTTTAGATTTGTGTATGTACCTATTTTTTTTTATTAGTTTGTCTAATAAATAATTTTTCTTTCTTTATTAGTGCTAGTCTTATGGTGCTGTAAGTAGTATTTAAGTTAATATTAGTCAAACGTTTATTTTTTATTAGTAATAGTAAAGGTAGTCATTGCTGAAAAATCAAGTAAATATTTTTCTCTTCCTATGCATAATATAAAATCTGTTTGTGGTATATGCCATAGCAAACTTAGATTAAGATAGCAAAGTAAAAAACAAAATATTAAAAGTAAATATTTTATTGAATTTTTTTTCCAACTTTTAATAATTGCCATAATTAAATACTTAAAAAAAACGATCTGTCTAAATGCAAATCAGAAGCATTATATTTACTTATTTATGTATGAAAAAATATTTAAAAAAAAACATTTTTAAGACACCCTGTATTTTTAAGTGTAACTTTTGATTAAGTTTACTGGTAGACTAATGTGTTTGATGATACATAACGGCACCGGCACATTTTATTGCATGTATTTATTCTTATGTAAAAAGAAGAAACAACTATGCCATTTACAAAGTTTTGGGAATGGTAAAAAGTTGAAATGTGGTGTAGTGTTTTTCAGGCGTAAATTTTACATCGTGAAAGTTTCTAAAATACCTGTCAAATTAGTTTGAGAAGTGATAAAGTAATCAAACGGGAACTTACGCAGGCACAAAAAAGCATACGGACATCTTGAATGTTCCAACCGCACAAGGGCAATCGCAAGAAAACCACTTTTAACTAATTCTACGAGTTAATGTTTTGCCCTAAATCAAAGTAGGAATTATTTATACGCGGCCAAAGTTTATTAAACACAGTAACCAATAATCAGTGTATTATTTGGCGATCTCCAATCAACAATTACTGAAAATGCGCCACTTCCACGATTCGTCCAGCGATGACCAGTCACAAGCTTGACGTTTGTATCGGTGTTACCATGTAATACTACTATCGAAAATAAAACTCGTCTCAATTTTGGGCTTGGTTTTTACGTGAAAATTATTCATTTTGATGAAATTGTTAAGTTTTCTAAAGTAAAATGCACTCAAAATTGCCTTTTAGATATTGATACTCGAATTCATTGACCATTTTACGTGGATAAAATTAATACCGGTTTTTAGATTATCTGTGTCTACTATCAAATCCAAGCTTATGTTTAATATTATGCTTACTTGCAGCACTAGCCGGAAATGCAACTTTTTTTTAATACCATACGTCATCGATGTCAAGTTAGCGTCTAGTAAAATGGCGGCTGTGATGGCGGCGGCGGAGATTCAGATAGTAAATCCTTCAAATTTAGCAAAAATTGAGAGGTATATCATCCTAAAACCATGAAATTGTTGAATCTCTAGTGAATAGTGATCATACAAACAAAGTGACGTCGTCATACCATGCGAATTTCTGGAGTATACAAGTGCTGAAAGTGTGAATGTTTTTTTTGCCTGTTTCAGCTTTCTCAATGATCCAAGTTACAAAGAAATTATTGAGAACTCTTCAACATTTAACTCCAGACTATGTGCCGAAAGAAGAATGCGAATGCCATTCATCGACACCCAAACGGGTATGTTGTTATCGATCGTATGTTTATTGATTTGTCCTTGCGCAGACGATGCGTTTACCTGTTCTGTTATGAAATTAGGCCATGCTAGCTGCTAGCGGTGACACCCATTTATTTTCTGAAACGCATGGACGCTATAATCTATGGCAAAATATTGCTAGGCAGTGGACACTACTGCTAAAGGCAAATCTCTGGAAATTAGTAAAAAAAATAGCAAGTTTGACCTATTTTATTGTTAGTTTTATTGATACGTTTTGGGTTCAAGCCCCGATCACCAAGAAAGGCACACTAAATAGTAAAGAAAGATGTCATAGTGGCAAATTGAGCCACAAGAACTCTCATGGCAATTCAAGGCAGGGCTTCTGTCATGTTTTGTCATAGAGATGCTAACTAATGCGCTGAGTTCGAAACTCAGTGTCGCATTAGAAATTCACACACACAAAGTAATCAAAATATGTGCTCATTACGCACTGAGGTATCAGTACTCAACGTTTGAATAATCTTTAGTACTACATAAGCAATGTAAACTGTTTACATTATGACATTGATGCTGTCATTGCATTTACAAGCAATGTGTTCTGTATTTGGGCATATTGCTGGGCAATCTTAGACTTCAAAAAGTATATGGTACTTNTTTATTTATTTATTTATTTATATAAGGCAAGCAATTTATATATGGTACTTTTATGGGACAGAGTATTTACTATTATAACAAAGTTCCTGAAGACTATAAAAAACTACCCATTAATAAATTTAAAAGTATAGTTAAAGAACACTTACTAAAAAAAGCTTATTACACTACAAATGATTACCTTAATGATAAATTACCTTGGAATTAAGTCTCTCAGGCTCTCACAATGTACCTAATTAATTGTATAGATACATTAGTTGCCATCTCTCTCTATTATATTATGGTGGTCATGTCTGTGAACAGGCGCTGCCTTCGGGGACTGGTCAAGGAAAGATATACCTGACATAAAATATATGTATCAAAACGCAACAATTAACCTAGAAATTAGCACGGCACTAAAGAAATATATTCAAAACTGCCACGCGGTCTTGTGCTAGATGGGCGTCTTAAAGGCCACCTTCTATCAACGGGAGCGCGTGGTAAGTCACTTGCTTCTGAATGTATGTAACTTCCTACTTTTTTATATTTTTTCATATTTTTAAACCGGCAGACAGTGGTGACTGAGTTTGTTAGGGCGCTTCTTCTCAGCACTTGCCAAATGTTTGTCTCGAAGCGCTGGTAGGGCAAAAAAAGAATGAGACATGTATAGGCTCCTGAAGAGCATTTGACGATTTGCAAGAACTAATTTAATTAGTCTAAACAAATAAAGATATTTTTGATTTTGATTTTGAATGTAATTGGACAGAAAATGCAATAAAATGGCATTTGCGAAAGTATTTTGAACACACGTTAAGAGTAAATTAAAGGTAAGCGCTGTAAGCATGCTACGTAACTTATTAAACGCTCTAAAAATACACTGAGGGCTTTTTTTAAGTCCCTTGCTTATAAACACCATGTTGGATACCAGTCGAAAATACTCGTAGCATTTTTATAATAAAAATCACTTCAATGATTATACCTAGTGTTCACCGAAATTACACGTATAATAATGTTCAAAGATGAAGGAATTTTTAATAACAGTATTACTACTGCCTACTCGAGTATTACGAGTATACTTACTCGAGTCTTGTCGAGAAAGATTTTTATGCATAACAAGGCAGGTATTTGACCACAATGGAAATTAAGTGGAATGCAGTCAGTGTTAAGTGAAAAACTCTTTGAGAAAATGTAAAACTTTTTTATGCTCAAATGATTTTACAATAATTCTCATTACCATTTCAACCTCATCATAACAAAGAACTTGAGCAATACGACGTATTGAACCACTTTCTCCGGTCAATGTCGAGTTGATCCGGGTACGGCTTTAGGCTTATTTCGTAACATCAAAACAATGATTCTAGCTTCATCAATCATGGCGTAAGATCAGTAATGAATGTATTACAGAAACACGTCAAGCTTGACACTGTGATCTCTTATGTGGTTGTAATAGAGTTGATCTTGCGACAAAAATGTAAAGTCCGATGTGCTGTTGCCTGAGCTTTTTATGAGTCTCATGACAACGTAAATCTAAGTATAAGTAAGTGGCAGGTTCTAAAAATGGGGTGAGTTTTATTGTATCGATCGGTAATGTATTTAAAAGGTCATTTGGGTCATTATTAATGATTGACACTAACTTTAGTAGAGCTTTATTTATAGTAGAATCCTACATAAAAATGTACTAATAGATCTCACTTTTTACACATACCACAAGCATATTAATTGCTTACTTTGGGGCTAGATAGCGCTGTGTGAAATTGTCCTAAGCTAAGTACTTATTTGTAAAAAAAATCTGATTACTGAGAGAATTTGAGCATTGACTGCAGAGTACACAATTTTCCTTAAACTTTACTATCGTCCTAATTTCAAATAGTATTTTGCACTTGCTACTTCTACAAAACAAGACAAATCATTTACAAGTACCTAAGCTCCTTCAATTTCACCCAAAATTATATGAATAACTTTCCGCTACCGCACACTATCCATTCAGAAAACTATTTAGTCTCAGACTGGGTTTAAGAGGCCCCGGGCTCATCTTTTCCTACATAGTTTCCTCAAAATTTCGGGTTGAAAGGAAGGCTGCTTATACTCGGATAATCCGGGTTCTTCCCACAAAGCAAGCGCGAATAAGACCACTCTGTGCTATCTCATTACCTTCAACGTTCCCCAGGGAATCCTTTACCTGATACTTGTTTTGGGGGTCCATGTGTGGGAAGAAATATTTTATGATATCGCATCTATACCTACCTACCCACTAAATTATACATACTGTATTTGGGTAAAAGAAGGGCAAAATTTTTTTTTTTTGCAAAACATTGGATGTATTTTGATGAACTTTTACAATGCTATACCGCAAGATAGAAAGGCTTTGAAAAATGTTAGTCCCATGCAGTCTGCATCTCTACTCTACATTAGAAAATTAAATGCAAACAAATAAATCGTAACGAACATAATATCCGACATTTCACACTAAAATACAAAGTACCTACACACTAATTATTTTTTGGCACTATTTACCACATTTGTCATGTACCTGTAAAGTAATTTTAAAAATACTTCACTTCAGTGTCCTGCATTACCTAAATGCGTCATATTATAATATAGCGACGGAACCCACACTTTACGTATTTGGAGACGTCCTTATCTTTTCTCTTAAAATAAGTAGCCCCTGAATGTGGTTCGGTGGCGCTGAGTGGAATACTTGACCTTCCTGCTTAGTCCGTATTCTGAAGACAGCGCTTAAGTATGTGTCTTGACAAAAATGTTTTTGAATGTTATTTATAAAATAAAAAGTATTTTTAGCAGCCGATATGGAAGGAGATTTTTTGAGAAACGTGAATGACATTATTTTTCTTTGATAAAGCCTTTTCTTTATCATATGACGCATCTTCAGTGATACCATTTACCATTTAAAAACATCGAAAATTGTGTTCAATTCAACCGTTAACATCAATGTTACGCGGTTTATGCGACCTCTTGGGATTTGATGGATTAAACATTATATTTTTTTTATGTGACAGGAGGCAAACGAGAAGACGCATAAGACAGTAAATTGTTACAATTAATTAACAAAACAACTCACCGCTTGTATGAAGAAGTCCTCATGCAACACGCTGACTATCCCGAAGTTGGTGAACTTGAACACCCTGTCCATGATCCACATCAGGTTGGGCAGGACTCCAGGGCGAGGGTTCCAGGCAGCCATGAGCATGGGGACGTCTGCTGTGCTCTGGTGGTTGGACAGCACCAGGGTTCTCCGACCGCTGCAGGCGGCTGGCTCGTCCCCGGACTCGATGACTGGAAAGAAGGAGAGACTGTTAGTTAAGAGTTACCAACATTCATAATGACGTAATTACTCTAGACTACTACTTTTAAGCGATTTTGTGAAAAATATTATTGACAGGTAGTTGCTAATTGCTCATAAGATAGGCCCCCTTAATTGATATTTATTGTCCGTGGTGCATAATCTTTTCTTATAGGTTTTAAACCTTTGTTTGTCACCTGTCATCCGCTTTGCAATGGAGGGAAGTCGAACCTTAATTTCGAACTCCTATGTTCTTCTGATTAATTTCGTTGCGGGTCCAATGACAGTTTAACTTTCCCCCGGGACAAACTTGACTATCATTGGTTTGGTTTTTGTGGCGGTCAAGCTGTAGATCCTGGCTATACAGGAGTTGCAGTGGTGGGAACGAGAGGTGGGAATAGTCCCGTAGACTACAGTATATTAAATTTGTCGGTAGATATTTTAGTCGG